AAATGAGCAACTGATATTAAGGGCTAAAGCAGAGGGCAAATGTTTTGAGAATGAGGGCAACAGATGTACATATGTGCTTGACACAATGGATGGATGTATGGATTGTGATAAGAATTGTACGAGCCCCCAATAAAATAATTTAAAAGAACCCAAACCTTGAGATACAGTAAACGTAGTCACTTGTTTAAACAAATATAGAACATCCAACTGCAATAGCGTAAGTAGTGATAAGCATTAATAATCTATCACATATGAAATTTCAAACTGAAAATCCTGTTTGAAGGAAAGTTTAAAGAAACACAAGGCTGACGCAAAGACGTCCTTCCTCATGCATGCAGTCTCCCTAAGTGGCAATCGAATGGCAGCGAACAGCAACACTGCCACTACCTTCTTTATCAGCGCTGTTAGCAACCCTGAAAATGGGTGTGGCCTTTATTACGATGTGGTCTCGCTCCCTTCCTAGAAGAACTCTAGCGTACCTGGTGGACAGCTCTTCCAGCAGGCCCGATGCTCACCCCGTTTGCCCTTGAGAAGTGCGCACTCGCCCTTCATTCCACGGATACCCTTCCAGAGCTCCATGTACACCCCTTAGTTCTTGAGATGAGAGTAACTACCCTGATTCCATGTATGCCCCATGAAAAAAAGCCCGAGATTGTTTTCCTTATGCTGATGTTTATAAATTGTTTAAATTTTAATAGAAAATAAAATTTCTTTATAACCTGACATCTGACCCAATAATTTGAAGTGACTTAAAAATGTCTCAATAGGTGATCAAATAAATTAGAGAATTGTGAGTAAAGGGAGCAAGTGAAGAAAGAGTGGAAAATAATCTAGAGATGAGGCTACTGCCTACAATATTTTGAATTGTGAAAAGCTGGAAACAACATAGAGGTCGTACATTAGGAGAATGGGTAAATCAATTATGTTATATCCATATTATACACTCAGCAGAAAGCTGTGTCCTGATGTACGAGACAATAAAAAGTATATAGTAAGATTGTAGTCTTGTGTATATATTGTCTATAAATACACATACATGCACATCACAAAAAGCTACAAAGGATACATATCACCATGCAATTGTGAATAATTGTATAAGCAGTTTTGGAAGAGGATGTGAAATTACTTTTTGGGCCTCTGGCATCCAGAGCAAAACTGTGAACCCAACGAGTTAGGAGATTCTCAGATAAAAGGTTGCACCCCATATTTCTCCACTCTTTAGGGACATGACACGTGCGTGTGTGTGGGTGTGTGCCTGCTGGGCAGTGTCATAGAACGGCCACCTCGTGATTTCGATGTGCACTTCTGCAAGTCCTTCTGTGAAACTCCTAAACAGTACAGCTTGAGGTGCTATTTTCCCTCTGCCTCGATGCAAGGATACATTTGCGGTTGAGAGGAAAGGGGGATGTACACCCTCTCCAGAACATCCCCCTTTGCTCCTGCCAACCCGTCCACATCTTAGTTTACACAGAAACGATCATGTTTGCTAGAGTAACATGATGCCTCTGGTACATCCAATTCAACTGTCTTGAATTACCTTTCTTTGCATGTGTTGATATAGATGACAGATTATATATCGTCATGGAACTTATAGAAGGGGCCCCGCTTGGGGAGCATTTCAGTTCTTTGAAGGAAAAGCAACACCGTTTTACTGAAGAAAGGCTATGGAAAATATTCATACAGGTATTCTTTTTTCTTCCGTCAAGTTTTCCACTGAACAGTAAAAGCCCTGAGCGGATGTCTCCGACACAGGTGTTAGTCCTCATTGGCCTTACATGTATCGTGGGGGGAGAAATAAGCATTGTTTTTATTGCTGTTTCCAGCTGTGCTTGGCTCTTCGGTACCTGCACAAGGAGAAGAGGATCGTCCACCGAGATCTGACGCCAAACAACATTATGCTGGGGGATAAGGACAAAGTGACCGTTAGTAAGTATAACAATCTCAGCATTTTCCACTGAAAAGTTGTGAATACTAGTCAAGGCCCCTGCTGTCCAATAGAACTTTATTCACTGCTGGAAAAGCTCTTGGTACACTCGGCCCCATATGTTACCACGAGCTACAGGTGGCTGTTGTGCACCTGAAATGTGGCCCGAGCAGCTGTGGTGGTGAATGTTTTATGTTCATGTATCTTACTTAGCCTCTACTAGCCTACCTAGCCATATGTGGCCAGTTTTGACAGGGCTATATTTTTGCCCCTACGAGAGAATAGGTTTTCTTTAAAATGTTAAGTGTTTAAAGTCTCACATCAGTGGTTTCTAGTTCTATGTCACCAATGCATGAGCTCATTATTTGGGAATGTTTTACCATAGCCTGTGTCTCGTGGGTGACAAATATATATATCTAGAGGTAGTAAAATCCCAGCTGTTTGTATACATCAATATAATATTTTCATCTATATCATGTAGGTTTACTCAAAGGTTCATTTTGACAAATGAAGAGGTTGATTTTTTTCCTCCACAATTGTCTACTTTCCAATTATGAGCTAAAATCATTTTTCCTAACAGTATTATTAGCAAGTAATTTACATATCATATAATTCAATAGTTTGATCCTTCTAGTATATCAAGGAGAATTGTACAATCACCCCCACATCAATTTTAGAGCATTTTCCCCCCCGCACCCCCCCCCACGATTAAATCACCTTTAAGATGAGTTATGCAATCACAACTATTCTGGTGCTCCCTCCCACCTCCCATCTTCATTATTTACTCCCCAAATCCCCATTCCCTCTCCCTGTCATCCACCCCTCATTACTGTATTCCCTATATCCCCTTGTATCACTCCTCCTGTGCTTCATATCTGGGAGAGCTAACAGAGAAGAATTAAAAAAAATTGCTCAAAGGTGGTAAGGATAAAACATAATAGTAGACAGACAAAACTTAGCATATATATACATGTATTGTACACACACACACACACACACACACGCACATACACACACAGACTTGTGGAGAGATATGCACATATATGAGCTCTCATCTGCCCCTCAGTTATGAACCTTGTTATTTTCATGAACTAGTAATGATTCACCAACTAAAAGTGGGCAGATACATCCCTAAATTAGTGATGCCCAAATGATTTTGATGATGGCTTTCTACCAGTGATTTTTTTTGCAAATACATTGTTAATATATGTATGCTAAATTTTAATTTTATACATATATTGTTATATAAATATTTTATACCAGACAACAAAGTATATAGTGGTAAAATGTAAAAGATGTGTTAGAAAGACAAAATAGAGCTTTTAGTATTTTTATTGTGCCCTAGTGGATTACCTTAATTCTATCTGCTATCCTTTCAATATGGTTTGTAGCATAATTTTGGGTAAACTTGACAGTTCATGCTTACATGATTGCCACTATCTAAACATTATTCAATATCAACTCCTTGTCTTTTCCACAGATCTTTTCCTTCCCTTCTGTGGAGTTCATGATTTCCATTTTTGGGGGTTTTGTTTTGGGTTTCTGTTGTGCCCATTGCTTTTTCTTTCTAAGTCTTCCAAAAGGGTTATAAAATTCCATTACATACTCTTTCCATCTGGTCCAATGTCAGAGCGACTCCCAATTTTGTTTTCCTAGGAACTTCCTACATGCAACTGTTTGCTCTAGGTCTGTGGTCCCGGGACTTTTGCTTACTCTTCTGCTCTTATGTCCTGTTCTTCTTCTTCTTTTCCCTAAACCCCTTTGTTTTGGTGAAGTGTAACTTCTAATCCTTTCCTTTGGAAATAGTGCTTTGCGAATTACAAGTTTTGAATGCTTGCGTGTCACAAAATGTCTTTATGGGATTTTCATCTCTGGTTGTCAGTTTGTTTGGGTATTTTATCTCCCAGATGAAAGTCATTATCCTACAAAATGTTGAAGGGTCCTGCTTAGCTGTTAGGAAATCCACTGTTTTTCTGATGTAAATGCTTTTAAACATGAGCAGTTGTCTGTGTGGATATTTTTAGGACATTCCCTTTATCATCTGCCTGGGGTAGGCCTCTTTTCATCCAACATTTGGAAATTATGAGGGGTTACCCCCACAAAGAACAGAATTTTTTTTTCCCAAAGCTATGTATTTAAATTTTTTTTACAAAACAACCTGACCACCTTCAAAGTACACTCCATTACACTTAATACATTTGTCAAATCTGTGACT